CGGAAGGAAATTAATCACTTATGTTGGAGCTGCGTTTGTCGAGTTAGCTCAAGTGTCGGATCGTAACTGGAAGACTTGCAAGCGAAAGTGATATGATCCCAAATTGTCAACCATTCACGTCACAATTACTTGACAAAGAAGCTATCAAAGTTGGGAAGAAGAAAGGCAGAATTTGGCTAAGTCAAAATCCGTGTTCAGGGTACATACTTTGGAGGCATGGTTCTCTCAATTGGCTTGGTGGAAATTCAATTTTAAGGGTTTGTTTTGCAGATAAAGTTTCCCTCTTTCCAATGGTATGCTCTGTAGATTCAGATGATGTCATTAAGGTTGTTTTCTAAGGCCTCAAAGTTGCTACCTCAAAACTGGAAAACTGCCAGAAAATGGATCGGTTGGATGTCCAAAAACCATCGAATTCTGCCTCGGGATTGATCGTAAATGGAGAAGAAGCAACCCTGAATGCTTCAAAGGGGTCGGAGCTATCAAACTGTGCAGTTATTGATGCAAACAGCATCGGCGTTCCAGACCTCTGTTTTCCTCCGCAAGAACAGAGTCAGCGTTCTGGAGAAACCTACAATGAACTAGAGGATGAGTCTAAGGATTTCGTCGCTATTGGTGAGTTTCTTGAAGGCCCAGTAATGAATTCCCTAACAACAATCGAGACAAATCTACTTCAATTCAAAATACCCAACTATGCAGAAGCTCTTCTGCAAACGGTGGAGTTTGACTCCAAAAACGGGTATGATGTTGGGGATTCTGAGCGCGAATCGAGCCTTACCACCACTAAAGATCAGTTCCTAGTAGTTAAAGGAATGGATTACCAGCCAAGAGCACATCCAACTCAGAAGGAAATCGAAGCATATGGGTCTTTTCCCAATTTTCCAGAACCGCCGAGTTCTGCAGAAACGTGCAACCTCCAGAATGGTGGGAAAACTAAAATCATTGTTTCTCTGATTACTAAGGTTGGACGAGACCTGGGAACGTTTGGAAGCTTCATATGGAAGCTGGGTGAACAAGATTCGAGTGTAAAACTGGAGAGGGGAGGATTGAATCAACAAATCTCAAGTTTGCAGCAACCATCCGAGTCCGTCATTGCGGCAGGAAGTTCTGGGCAACTCCTCAATTGTATTCCGGTGCAATTGGGCGTCAATGTTGGTAAATTTCAATCCCAGAAAGCGTTTCCAACAATACTGCAAGCACCAACACAACTAGATGAGATTGATGATGAGATTGAAGCTGCCAAAGTTGTGCCGAAAAAGATGTTCGAGCAGGCTACTTTTGATCCAATTTGGGATCGATTCTGTGATGATTTTGACAAAAGGAAAGATCAAGCTTTGAGGTCAAAGCTTTTTGAAGAGGGGGAGGCTGATATGATCCCAAATTGCCAACCATTCACGTCACAATTACTTGACAAAGAAGCTATCAAAGTTGGGAAGAAGAAAGGCAGAATTTGGCCAAGTCAAAATACGTGTTCAGGGTACATACTTTGGAGGCATGGTTCTCTCAATTGGCTTGGTGGAAATTCAATTTTAAGGGTTTTTTTTGCAGATAAAGTTTCCCTCTTTCTAATGGTATGCTCTGTGGATTCAGATGATGTCATTAAGGTTGTTTTCTAAGGCCTCAAAGATGCTACCTCAAAACTGGAAAACTGCCAGAAAATGGTTAAGTCTGGAAACTGTTTTGTGAAGCCTACTTTGGAGCTCAGTTCAAGGAGCATGGATCTGATTCGAGACCAAAGGCTTCTACAACATGAAGCTAGGTATGTTTATCTACCAAGGGAAGGAATTGGATGAAAGATTGAAGTTCTGGAAAACCTTGAACAAAAGGCGCGAAGTTAGTACGAAAGCTGCTTTTGGACTGTTTGCTGGCAGCTTACTTGCACTTGAAGAAAGAGAGTTTAAATCCGAATTTTGAGTCCTTTTTAGTGTATATTTTTACCTTAATTGTTTCCTAGTTCTATTAGGTTTGTATTAGGTTTATTTGCCTTTAAATACCTTTCTATTTACGTTGTAAAAACTCAGACTTTGATTAATCGAAATTGAGAACCGTTTGGTTTGTGCAAGTTGCGACTTGTTTTGGGTTTGGTGGATTCCAAACTTGCTGAGCTTGTGTATCGATTGAATAGTCACTTCAATTGTGGTCGAGCAACTACCCTTTTATACCAATCGAGCTATCCCCAGGTGTGGATTTGTCCTTTTGGTTCCGCTTTATCCAAGTTCGTATTAAGAACGCTTCGTTCTTGATTCGAGCTCAATCGATTCTTCGATTGAGTCGTTAGCTGCGTGACTTTGATAAACATACACCCCCTAGGGGCGTATTAAGTGGTATCAGAGTCCCGTTCAACACAAGGGCGAAGGAGAAGAAGACGACCTGTGTTTAGTACGAATTCAGAATTCGTTGCAAACAAAGGAGCAGTCTGTTTTGGTTTTGTTGTTTGAAGAATTTCAATACGAAGAGCAGAGATGGAGAAGATTAACATGGAGGATTTGTTAGACAAGATCGATGCGATAGTCCAGGTACAATTGGGGCAGTTCAGGCGAGACTTTAATCGGAGTTTAGATGCTGCCATCAATAGACATCTCAGTCTTATTCAGCGAAAACAGAGTGTTGATTGGTCTCGCCCAAAAGATCGATTGGATGTCCAAAAACCATCGAATTCTGTCTCGGGATTGATCGTAAATGGAGAAGAAGCAACCCTGAATGCTTCAAAGGGGTCGGAGCTATCAAACTGTGCAGTTATTGATGCAAACAACATCGGCGTTCCAGACCTCTGTTTTCCTCCGCCAGAACAGAGTCAGCGTTCTGGAGAAACCTACAATGAACTAGAGGATGAGTCTAAGGATTTCGTCGCTATTGGTGAGTTTCTTGAAGGCCCAGTAATGAATTCCCTAACAACAATCGAGACAAAGCAACTTCAATTCAAAATACCCAACTATGCAGAAGCTCTTCTGCAAACGGTGGAGTTTGACTCCAAAAACGGGTATGATGTTGGGGATTCTGAGCGCGAATCGAGCCTTACCACCACTAAAGATCAGTTCCTAGTAGTTAAAGGAATGGATTACCAGCCAAGAGCACATCCAACTCAGAAGGAAATCGAAGCATATGGGTCTTTTCCCAATTTTCCAGAACCGCCGAGTTCTGCAGAAACGTGCAACCTCCAGAATGGTGGGAAAACTAAAATCATCGTTTCTCTAATTACTGAGGTTGGACGAGACCTGGGAACGTTTGGAAGCTTCATATGGAAGCTGGGTGAACGAGATTCGAGTGTAAAACTGGAGAGGGGAGGATTGAATCAACAAATCTCAAGTTTGCAGCAACCATCCGAGTCCGTCATTGCGGCAGGAAGTTCTGGGCAACTCCTCAATTGTATTCCGGCGCAATTGGGCGTCAATGTTGGTAAATTTCAATCCCAGAAAGCGTTTCCAATAGTACTGCAAGCACCAACACAACTAGATGCGATTGATGATGAGATTGAAGCTGCCAAAGTTGTGCCGAAAAAGATGTTCAAGCAGGCTACTTTCGATCCAATTTGGGATCGATTCTGTGATGATTTTGACAAAAGGAAAGATCAAGCTTTGAGGTCAAAGCTTTTTGAAGAGGGGGAGCCTGATATGATCCCAAATTGCCAACCATTCACGTCACAATTACTTGAAAAAGAAGCTATCAAAGTTGGGAAGAAGAAAGGCAGAATTTGGGTAAGTCAAAATCCGTGTTCAGGGTACATACTTTGGAGGCATGGTTCTCTCAATTGGCTTGGTGGAAATTCAATTTTAAGGGTTTGTTTTGCTGATAAAGTTTCCCTCTTTCCAATGGTATGCTCTGTGGATTCAGTTGATGTCATTAAGGTTGTTTTCTAAGGCCTCAAAGTTGCTACCTTAAAACTGGAAAACTGCCAGAAAATGGTTAAGTCTGGAAACTGTTTAGTGAAGCCTACTTTGGAGCTCAGTTCAAGGAGCATGGATCTGATTCGAGACCAAAGGCTTCTACAACATGAAGCTAGGTATGTTTATCTACCAAGGGAAGGAATTGGATGAAAGATTGAAGTTCTGGAAAACCTTGAACAAAAGGCGCGAAGTTAGTACGAAAGCTGCTTTTGGACTGTTTGCTGGCAGCTTACTTGCACTTGAAGAAAGAGAGTTTAAATCCGAATTTTGAGTCCTTTTTAGAGTATATTTTTACCTTAATTGTTTCCTAGTTCTATTAGGTTTGTATTAGGTTTATTTGCCTTTAAATACCTTTCTATTTACGTTGTAAAAACTCAGACTTTGATTAATCGAAATTGAGAACCGTTTGGTTTGTGCAAGTTGCGACTTGTTTTGGGTTTGGTGGATTCCAAACTTGCTGAGCTTGTGTATCGATTGAATAGTCACTTCAATCGTGGTCGAGCAACTACCCTTTTATACCAATCGAGCTATCCCCAGGTGTGGATTTGTCCTTTTGGTTCCGCTTTATCCAAGTTCGTATTAAGAACGCTTCGTTCTTGATTCGAGCTCAATCGATTCTTCGATTGAGTCGTTATCTGCGTGACTTTGATAAACATACACCCCCCAGGGACGTATTAGAAAGAAGCAACCTCGAGCGTTCATTGTCGTCTACAAATGGGAACGGTTCTTCTACATCGATCCCGGTTGAAGCGAGTATGATCAATTCACCAACCTTGAGGGCAAGGTCGCGCTTAGGGGGGAGGGATGTTACGAGATCGAGCCATCGTAGTATTTCATTAATTACTGGGCTTGCGTATCTTTTCTTATTAGTCATATTAAGTAATTATTTGGAAATATTAGTATTAATTATTATTAGTAATTGTTCTACTCGGATTAGGAGATGTGTTAGTAGTTAATTAATATTTCTTGTAAGGGAAGAAAGGGAATTCTAGTAGGAAAAGAATAAGGAGAGAGGCTAAAGCCTAGGGTGAGAAGGAAAGGGATTTGGTTGTGTAACTCTATAAATAGAGACATTGTCTATGAATAATAGTAGGAGAAGATTGGAACCCAAATAGCTTTCTTATTGTCTTTCGTTTATTGCGAGTTACCTAGTTTCTTTGAGCGTTTATTCTATTCTTTCAAGCAATTGTCGATTTCCTTCAAGTTACGTTCTATTTTTCAAGCTTCGGAAAAAATCTACTTAACATTCAGGCGGAAGAAACAACTTGTGCCACTACAACTGCTAACTACTACTACTACAGCTGCTACAACTTCAATTTATTGGGACAGTAGAGAACGGAAGCAAACCAGCCGGCGGGAGACATAACAAACTACAAACAAACATAGAAACAGAAACACAAAGGGGAAATTGAATGACACTAATTAGTATCAAGCGCACTTGAATCCTTGAGGGATGTTCCCTCCACAGGCATTGACCAGCAGTGTGACGGCGATGGGGATTTCCAGCTTCACCAACCCTAGAACGTTGGCCTTCATGGCAGAGCACAGGCACAATGCAGCTTCGAGATCTGCAACCCCTTGGATCAACATGCAGCAATCCTTGCTGGGTTTCGTCCCCACGACCTCGGAAACCAATCCCAACCAGCTCCCGCACACCCCGAACTTCAAGGCGTCCTCGGGGCACTTGCTGCTGCTGCTGCTGTGGGCCGGTGGTGTCTGCAGCGGTGGTGGAGGAGGGCAGGGAGAGGAGACAGAGCTCAGAAACAGAGTGGCGAGGAGGAGGAGATGCAGAAGCACTGACAACGCCTTGGCAGCAGAACCCATAATCCTCCTTCTGTTTGTTAGCAGTTATTTCTTGTGGAATGCGGGAGTGTCTATCACCATTTCTTCTGCATTGGGAGAGTTTTTATAAGGGGACAATACAGTTTCCTTTTTTTTTTCTTTTCTGTGGTGGTATCAATTGAAGATTCGGTGGTGGGTATAAGACAGTAACAAGTAACAGCCTACTGGGAGAATCATTTTCAGCCACGGGAAGTGTGTGTGGGGGAATGAATACTGTGATTTTGTTGGTATACAAGACAGGGGAGGAGAGGAGAGGAGTCTTTTGTGTTGGTGTAGCCATTGGAGAAACATCCAAGAGATTCCCAATGGCCCCCCAACAGCTACCATTTGTACACTTTCTCCCTCCCATCGTTGGTTCTTGATATCTCTACTACCAAAAGGTCATGATATACCAATTTTATTAATTAACTGAACGAAGGTAACAAAGATGCAAGAAACGAAAAACTCAACGTAACAAAGATATAAGGAACGAAAAACTCGAGCTCCCATTGGGCTTGGGCAAATAACACTTCCTAACGATCCTGTGTTTGAGTGGTTGTTTTGGTCTAGGGTCGTGTTTTTTAACCTAACTAATCCACTCTCCAGTCCATTCTTCTCAGTAACATCGTTCTCCTTATCCTTCACTCTTCTCCATTGAGGGCAATGTCGATTTTAAGTGTGTGTGTGTGGGGGGGGGGGGGGGGGGGGGGGGGGGGGGGTTATCTTTGACTGCTTAGTTGCGTTTGTGTGCTTAGAGCCTAGTTCACTGTCCAAATTTTACGATTTGAGGGCTCCAAGTACGTGTTCCTAGAAATTGTCTGCTCAGTATGCTTTGAATTGACAGTTTTTATAGTACTATGCAACCTAGGGAGCTAGTTGTAGCACTATGGAGGATGATGAAGTATAAGATATGTCATATCTTTCCCTTTGTTGTGTCGGTTGATTGTGTGAACTTGTGGATTTATTACCTTTGATTCATGTGGTATCGATGACTCCCATTGTGTTGTGTGTGGACTCATGTATCGTAAAAGGGTGCTCAGGTGTGCGTAAACAGAAGCAGTTGGTCCTCCATGTCGAAAATTTGGAATTTTAAGTATGGGGTAAGGCCAACGTGTGTGGCACCGTTCACTGCACAAAATCGGGTTTTGGAAGAGATTTTAGTGATCCATAGTGGGATGTACCCCGACAAGGTGAAGCTATGTCGTCTCTATTACAAGTAAAAATTTCACCTGTTGAACGGTTTGCCTACTCGATGATGTGTTTTAAAGGGCACGAATAGAGCTCCCCCCCCCCCCCCCCCCCCCCCTTAATTTCATTGACCCTCCACATGAGTAGACGAAAAGGAGTTAAAAGAAGTACTCTGGCGAGCGATAGATGTATAGAAATTGCTCTTGCTCGACCAATAAGGGTCGATCGTGCATAAAAGTTGCAGTTTGGAACTCCATCAAAGTGTGAATGTGAAAAACAAAAGAAGAAGAAATATAGAAAGGAAAAGGGTTTCCGACGATTGAAATGGAATGGAAGAGCACCCGATACGAACGGTCCTCAGTTTTTTAGTTATGTGAGTCTTTTTATTCATGAATTATCTGTCCTAGGTCCACTACTTCGCATGATCCTGGCTTGAGTCTAGAACTCGCATTGAGAGAAAAGGGCATATCTTAGAAAACTGGTTGACCTCATAAGCTGTTAAATGACCTAGGAAGTCTTCTACCGACGATTGGGGTTGCATGTTGCTGTAAAGGTCTGGAGAGTTGCATTGGTTTGAGCCATGTTTGCTTGTGGACAAGCAAACGGTTAACTGAGGGGGAATTTTATAACACTATATTCGAACATGTTTTCCCCATAATTTCTTGATCGTTTGAGCTCGCTTTCTCGCTCTCGTGACCTATTTTATGCTAGGTTGTGTTGGTTTATGATGTTTCAGGTCCTAGTACGTGAATGGGTGCGAAGGAGCAAGTTTTGGGACTTTTTGGAGTGAACGGGTAGAGAGCAGGGAAAAGTTACGACCAGACCATGAAAGTTACGGTCTGGACCGTAGCTTCCCCATGAAGCCGGTAACTTTGGAGGAGTGATAGCAGTGATCCAGAAGAAGTTTCAAAGTTACGGTATGAACAGTAACTTACCCTCCTGACCCGTAACTTTGAAAAAGCGGGGTTGAGGTTCCAAGAGCAGTTTTGTAGTTATGGCTTGTCCCTCAAAGTTACGGTCTCAATCGAAACTTGTCTATAGGAGTCATAACTCTTGGTTTACGGAGTACAAAACATCGACATTTTGTGGAGAAGTTACAAGCAGGGAGAGGGAGTATGGCCTAAGGGGAATCATACATGGATGACCTTTAGCATACTTTAAAAACCAGAACATTTCCTGCTTAGTTGCGTTTGTGTGACATCGGAAGCATGCTCGTGATCTCGGGCAAAAATGCAGCGTTTAAATTCCACCTAGCATAAAATCGAACATGCTAAAACATGCACAAACCTAGCATAAAACTGAACCTCTAGTGATATAAACGCCTAAAAAATCACAAAAATATGGGGTAAAAACAAGTGTAATTATGTCGTCATTAATAGAGATAGTTTGTATGGAAGAGTTTATAGTGTCAATCTTGCAGAAAAATAAATAACATCAAGATTTTTTAATGTGGTTTTGTAAAATGTGACACTAGTCCACAGTGAGGATCTCTCTCATGGGTTTTACGGATTGTTATTACTTGATGATCTTCTACAGTTTACGTGAGCAATATATAGGTTAACCACCCAATCCCTAGCCAAACTACCTCTTAGGCTATTTACATTATGGTACTTCTATTTTATGTCATTAACACTCTCACTCAAATTGATGTCGAGTAATCAACATCAATTTGCAAGACAAGTACCAATGTCGACTTGATGCCACTGCCTTTGTTAACAGGTCGACGATCTGGCCTTCTGTTGACAAGTAACTCAGTTGTATCTTGCCTTCGGCTACCAGCTGCCGAATGTAATGAACGTGGACCTCTATATGTTTGGGTTGTTCATGAAGCATAGGATTATTCGCTATTTGAATAGAACTGGTGTTGTCTTCATAGATCCTCATCGGTACCGTACATCCAATGCCTAGTTCATCTAGCAAATGTTGCAGCCAAACCATCTCTGAGCTTACCTCGGACATAGAACGGTACTTTGCTTCTGTCGAAGACTTTGACACCTTATCTCGTTTCCTCCATCTCCATGAAATAAAGGATCGACCAAGCCTTACACACCTCCCTGAGGTTGAGATGTAGTGTCGAGTCACCCTGTGCAATTTGCATCTACAAATCCTTCTAATGTCGTGTGATTGTCAGCTGGAAAAAAACATGGGCACGTCCTGCGTGACCCTTAGGTATCGCAGTAACCGATGAAGTGCATGATTCGGGTCAATTTGTACACTCCCCCCCCCCCTTCCTTAGATGTTTGAGGTACTTTTACTCCGTGAGGTTCAGTTTTACGCTAGGTTGTGGTTGTTTTTAGTATGTTTCAGATCCTAGCAAGTGAAACCAACCAATGGAATGAAAGTTGGACAAAAGCGGAGAGGGACGTAGTGAGAGAGACTTCTTCTTCAGATTTCAGATTTCTAGAGTGAGAAAGTGACGAATAAGTAGGGATGGCAATTTTGCCCATACCCATGGGTATTTTACTATCCAACCCAATTGGGTTGGGTATGGATTCCAAATAAATGGTAGATGGGTAGAGTTTGATGGATTTGTACCCATACCCATTTACTTGGGTTGGGTTGGGTTTTTAACACATGGATTTGGGTTTGTACCCATGCCCAAAGGCAAATTACAGTTTGGTACCTAAACTTAATAGATATGTAGATTTAGTACCTAAATTTAATTTTTTTGCATATAAGGCCTCAAAATATCGATGGAAAATTACGTTTTGGTACCTAAATTTTGTTGGTCTTACAATTTGGTACCTAAACTTTTCAAGTTTTACAAATAGGTCCAATTTTTGTGTGTGTAGTTAAAACACCCTCAAGTAAATGGATATCCATATCCAACCCATACCCATTTACATTATGAAAGCAATATCCATACCTAACCCAAACCCATCTACAAACTAGGGGTGGCTATACGGTCCGGTCCGGTTAAATTGGCCCAAATTGATCCGGTCCAGTCCGGTCTTTTTGAAAATATAAGGACCGAAGATTGGATTGAATACAGTCCGGTCTTGATCCGGTCCGGTTTTGATCCGGTCCGGTCCCAATTCGGTCTTGATTTTACACTGATATTGTGGGATTTGAGTGGCCTAAGGCCTTAAAGGGTGAGGAGTTGGTTAAGTCTTGTACTAAGTGCAAAGGTTTGTGACCGTTTATGCAAATTACTCTTAAGTTTTGGGTGTTGAGCTCTCTTATCCGGTCTTTATCCAGTTTTTTACCTCAAATCTAAGCCCAAAGATTGAATTGGATTGTTTACTATCCGGTCCCGGTCTGGTCTCGGTCCGAGTTATACGGTCCGGTTTCCGGTTTTTAATCCGGTCCCGGTCCAAATAGCCACCCCTACTACTAACCCCCAAACCCATATACACTTCATCCAAACCCTACCCATACTAAATGGATTTATTTGGATTTGGGTAAAATTACCCATGGGTGGGTAATTGCCATCCCTACGAATAAGAGGAGAAGAGAAGTTAGGGTTTCATCCAAGAGCTAGGTTTTGGGTAGTTTTCCTCCAAGGTTGATCTCCACACCACAAGAAAGAAAGAAAACATCTCCAAGATGGTATTCTCTTTTTTCCCTTGTGTTCTCCCTCTACTTAGCATGGAGTAGACCTTTCTTTCACTTGGGTGTTTGTAAACCCTAGCTACAATTATGTAAATGTTTGTATGGATTGAATGACTTGTGTGTGGTTTTGTTTTAATACAGGTTATGAGGTATATTCATAAAGTTTGTGTGTGTTCATCCATTTCCAATTCTTATGCCATTTTGACCTAGGTAGAGGGAAATCCCTTCTTGTTAAGAGGCTTGTAAAAGCTGGAGTTACTTGGACAATTGTGTCACCTACCTAGGCTGAAATAGGGCAAACCTCTTAATACGTATTAGCACCTTTGGTAAGTTATTATTTGGCCGTCCGAGATATAGTTCAAGGGTAAAGTAAAGAACCCTTAGTCGATTGGGCCAAGAGAGTTACCTTGGTAACTTGATGTGATATCCATTGGCCTAGATACCGAGAGAGTGACGGTTGTTCACTTGTTG